GAATGGCATTCCTGTAACACGTAGCGGGTCCAAAACACGTTGTGAAAGTAGCCGGATAGCTCATGGGCCGTGTGCGAGCGGAAAATGTCAAAGTAGAAAGATTCACTGGGCTGGATGTGAAGGGCCACGGATGGTTGGTAAGTAGTGGGCGACGGAGACGAGGTTCCAGATGAGGCAGCTTTCAGAACTGCTCGTTGGTGTGCTCGGCGTGGCAGCAGATGGTAGTCGCCGTGCAAGGGCGCAACGATAGCATTCGAGGATACATGAGCGTCGTAGACTGGCATCGGTTTCGGGGCAATTCGAACCTCTTCAAAGGGACGGGAACTGCGACTGGGTGGTGGGTAGCCAGTACAGTTCTTGTTGCTTCGAACACATTGCGTACAAGCCGGGCGAGCCTCGTCACACTTAATACGTCTCTGCCTACAGTTTTTCCAGGTAAGAATGGATGGTATATATCGGGGCAAATTCAAGGTCAAGCAAGCGGGAAGGAAGGGGAATCGGGAATCGGGGAGACGAACTTGCAATTGGTACATCCTGTCTTAACTTTTGGCTTGCTGGTCCTGACTCGTTTCGCTTTGGGTTTGGAGGTTACTGTTGAAGTGGCTGACGCTGTTGGGTCTATTGAGTTTGAAGTAGAAGGGGCCTTGGCAGAAGAGGAGATAGACGGGCTGCTTGAAGCAGCAATGGCGTCAGTAGTAGCACTTGGAGTGGCTGGTGTACTTGTCGATGCAGCAGAGACGTTACTGCTGCTGTAATTGCTCTCGTTGGAAGGGATTTCAACATTGTTGAAAGTGTTAATAGCGATAGGGTGTAGAGAGGAGGAAGGTGGCTGAGTTATCGGGTCAGTTGTTGGAAAGACTGGGGTTGTTGATGTTGCCTGTGTCTGGGCCTGAGCATGCGTTGTAGTTGGCAATGATGATGTTGATGCTAATGATGTTTGTATCGGTATTGGTGGTTCTGTTGATTGAGCCCTCGACATGGAGGAAGGCACATTGGTAGGCTGGTTCATATTTGCAAAAGTTTTAGAGTAATGTACATCCAAGTTCGTCTGTGCATGTGCCCTTGCCTGTGCCAGCGCCTGCGCTTGTGTTTGTGCCTGTAGTTGCAATTGTGACTGCGCTGTTCTTCCCCCCGCTCTCTCGGAATGAGACGATGAACCCTTTTCGATTAACCAGCTCTGAGCCATGGAAGACAGCGCAATGACAGGTCACTTGAGCTACCACCAACTTGGCCTTTAAAGGACAGGTGCAGTGCTGGTATAGGCAGTAGCCACGGTTGGTTGGTAGGGTTATCGATTTACCTGGCTAGATTGCCGTTAATAAATGTACTATCCCAGCCTACGATAGCTCCACGGCTACCACGTTTCTCTAAGGCAGGTAGGTATCGAACCGCTTCTCGGCCGAAAAGACGGAAAGGTGGATGAGAAAAGTGATCTTAGTTGGTATAGCCGGGAATCAGAGTTTCTGCGGGAAAAAGGTGGCAGAGGACCAAGAAGTAGCCGGTAGAAAGTAAAAAAGAATTGGGAGTGACTAAGTCCCACTGGCAGGAGGCAAGTAGGTAAAAGGAACTAGTAGTAGTAGAGTAAAGTAAGTCGTTACAGATATGGGCACAGGGCTGGCTAAGTTGATACGCATATGGAAACACATCAGTGCAGCCTGGCTGTGGAGGATATAGGTGAAAAGATAGTGTCAGCCCCGGTCATGTACTCGGGCGCAATGATGCCTTTCTATAGGCAGCTCCTTACTCCAATTGCTCTGCAATGGTTCCAAGGGGCAGATCAAGCATATACTGTACTGTGTTGACAAGCATAGGTTGACATGACAGGCATGGATGGGGCTCATCTGTTCCTTGATATCGAACACCACTCCTATTTGGGAGGAGGAGGCTGAAGGCACGCCAGGCCAGACCAACATGGCTCTCAAGTACAGGGGGGAGGTGGAACAATCAGCCCGAAAGGAACAGGCAAAGTGAAGAGTTCGACAACAGCTAGTAACAGACCCCGAACGAATCTGATTCATTGTGGGGAGGTGAGCCGGAGCATTGTAGCAAACAAGCGGTCCGGGGGTACCCTTCCCATGGAACAAAAGAAGCAAACACCAGCACCATCAGGAGGAGAATCAGAATTAGAGACAGGCAACAGATCGCCGGTGGGTTTCGCCTGGGCAATATCCATATTGCCTGTCATGCTTCGGGCGAGCTCTGCCAAACTTGGAGTAGCATGACTCTGTGTAACCACAACTAAGATCAAATCTACCAGGGACTGGCGAGACAGCCGCAGTAAAACGCCATAACTTTCCGTGCGAGGGGACATGGGACGGTACGATCCAGTCTAGATGGCTAATAATTGGTTAGTTGGTCAGTTGCCATGTACTCAATCGGTCAGTGTAATTGTCGGTCCGGGTACGCTTTTCCAGAAACAGGGCAGGGCAGGGTCAAATCTGCTAGGGTGTTGCATAGGAAAAGCACTGAGTAGTACAGTACTTTGGCAGATGCAAGACCTGGGAGGTTTTGGCTGATTCCAGATAGACCCATGGGTGAAGTAATGCAGTGCTGCAGGTCTCTCTGTCCAGCACAGCACAGCGTTTGAACCAAGCTCGTCACGCTGGATAATGAGCCCGGGACACAATAGCCGGGTCTATGGAGCCCATTCATCTGTCCAGGTACGGATGCTGTCCTGTTGCAGTGAGAATATGGATGTGAATGTTGATTAGACTTGGTTGAAAGTAGAGCTGGAGCCAGGTAGTGAACCGTCCAAGCTTCGGGACCTCCCCTCTCCAGCGCTACTCTAGTGCAGGCTCACGCTCGTTGGTGGTGGAACGAGACTTTATCACCCAATAGGGATAGAGTCGATATTTGACAGGGGTGCGCTTGTGTGTTCCTGCTGCGTTGGTCGCACGAGGGAGGGATGAGCTTGACTAAACCGCCTCGAGAAGGATTGACGCCCAGCACTCTGCATCTGCATCTGCAGGGCTGTTAGAGGCGTAATTAGCGCGGTGGCGGTGGAGATTCGTAGGGGACCAGGGGGTGCATCTGACGTTTGTTTCTAGCCTGTGCCATGGATACTCCTTGATTGATAGAGTTGAGCTTGTCGATGGGATGATGGATCAAGGACTTCAACGTGCAGCTGTAAGTAAGCTCAACGTATGCACGCCTTTCCCTCCCCGAGTCAAGACAGGCCAAGCCCGGGAACAGGCTAGTAGGAAGCTCCTGTTGGGTGGGCGCTTGTGGCCCGCTCTAAGAGTCTTGGCGGGTCTCCTTCCACTATATCCGATCTATACCCGCACAAGAGAGGCGCAGCTAGCTGAGTCCTGGGATAAGAGTATTACCACTGAAATCATCAACATGAAAACACGTAAAATATTGAGAGACAGGTATGCATTCTACTCACTATTCTATATGGTTGAGTTCGTACTTGGTGGGGCGGGTTTATTATTTCGTGCCCGTCGCCACCGGCAAGTCATTTTAAGGCCTACCTGCCTAGCTATCTGGGTACAATGGTAGGTAGTATTTAAAAGATCGGGTGAACGTCAACTCCGACTGAGAAAAAGCAAATAAATCCTACCTACTACTAACTTAATTACAGTCACAGTCTACAGTCCAGCTCAACAAGGTTGAATAACTGCGACTTAAAGCCTGGTATCCTCGCATTCGCTAATTGCTTTGATACAACTCATCCTTCCCTCCCCTTCCAGTACTGCACATGTGATGCCATCATACTCAGATAGTCCAATTGTTAGGTGCCATTGTCCTTGGTTCATTGGCTATCATAACTTCGGAGCTTCCGATGACTAGAAACATACCTTAAACAGTCAATTAATACGTAACGAGAATGCTGATGTGAATACCAGGCCATGGGTACTTGCAGAACCAGAGCTCGGCTTTCCTATCTTAACACTAACAGTCGGTTAATCCCACGATCCAAGATGCGATGAACTCGATTTGTATTCAGGTACGTACTCGTCTAATCTCGAGAATCTACCTAGATCTCGATAGATTAGAACTCCGGTAAGCACCCCCATACTACCACGTAGCAGTACTGTATAGTGCCTACTACAGTATACAGCACAGCACCAACCAAACCCTCACAAGCTTCGCATTCGCCAACCATGTGCGGCACAGTTGCTCATTAAGTTGTTTGATGCTTTCCTTTTTGGTAAAGGTCATCACCTCCCTCTCATTCTCTCTCTCTCCTTCTCTCCTCCCTTACCTCTTGGCTTTGCTTTGATGGGTTTTATCTGTGCCCTTGAGCAGTTCGTAAACCCTGATGTTGCAGCCAATCGTTCCGGTGAAAGTATCATGGCTCGTTGCAGGCTTTGTAAATTAAAGACTGCACAGGCGTCCCCTGATCTGGCCTTGGTCTAAGTTTGAGCTAAAGGTTTGGTTCTTAGCTCTGCTTTGGTAGATTGGTGCCAGGGGGCGGCAAGGGGCGGTATCTTCCGTCACCCAAGGTGTTCGCATGACTATCAATGCTCAGGGTTGCCAAGACCTGGTTGATTACCTGGCCCTCGTGGCCTGCCAGGAGAAGGGGCTCCCAGTGTGACGGGACATTTGTCAGACGAAGACGACCATTGACCATTGAAGTCTAGTTTTGAACTGTCGAGGCGGGGTATTGAGTCTGTGAGTTTCGATATCCCAAAGAGTGACGATGACCGTTGCCATTGAGGATTCTATCCCCATCAAGGTCTACCTTAAGGTACCATCGGTGTGCGGTATTAGAATGCCCGTCCGAGACTAAAATCTACCATTTATCGAGTCATTCAATAGTAGATACTCGCTCATCCCCATTCCATCATATCTTACCTATCATATCTGTCACAACCTTCAGCCTTACAGATTTCAGAGATCACATAGCGTTTAGCAAGACCAGGTAGATGGGTAGCATCATCTTACTGTAACGGCAATACGAATCCTTCCCACTTCCCCCCGATGCTAATTGTACTTCGCCTCTGAGCCCCTGGCGTTCGGTTCGGCTCCTCCACATTAGGCATGTCAATGTTACAATGGTTCGTGAAGATCTCTTCTTATGGCCTAATGGCCGTGGGCGACGTCTACTCTCCCGGTACGCGGCTCTTGTTATCCTAGCTGCCGGCCGCCTGTCCGATTATCTTATGTGCATGTAGGTAATTACCGTTACCGTAGATAGACTGCAGTTCCAACACCGTACGATGCTCGGAAACGATGGACAATTTTATCTCCTATTCGAGACAGCTACCTCCAATATTCTCCGAGACTCGTCCGTCGCCGTCAGGCAATAGCCCAAATTTGGTACGACGCAATTCGCCGATCCCCTATTTGCCAAGCTTGTTTTTGGTGACTAGGTCTAGGTACTAAGGTGGACTTTTGAATTGTGCTGGCATATAACGTTAATCGTCAGGGATGACAGAACTAAACTCCCCAAGGTTTCTGTGCAAAAAGCACTGTTTCAGCCTCTCTTTCCAAATTCGGAGTTTAACGACTGCGCAGAGGCGTGAACTTTGCTCCGCGTACTTGCATAGTAGGTACCTACTAACCTACCTATCTAGGTATGTATGGTAGAGAGAAAGATAAAAACCAACAAAGGAATCTACTTGATGGATACTGCTAAGCTAAATTACACCAGCAGTGGGTACGAGTTCGCCAAGACTTTACACTCTCCAGGCTCAGCGGGTTGGCCGCAACACGACGCACGTCCTCAACCCCGTTGGCCTGAGCCGTGCCATAGCTGCTAAGGTAGGTAGGTATGTCTCAGCCACGACAACTCACTCCCGCTATCGGCTCCGAATGGTGACAACTACAAAGACAAACGGCCGATATCACTTAGTTCATGTTAAAAGCACGGACAGAAATGCTGCCGCCGGCAACTGCTGCACGCACATCCCAAAAGAAGTGATTGTTGTGGAACAGTTTCTATCCATTTGCTGCCTTGACATTTGTTGTTGGATATACGTAATTGGCCGTTTTGTTGAGGCCCACAGAGATTGAGAGATGGATTAGGTGGCCTAGTGGCTTCTGGTGGTCGTCGTGTCAGTCAGTGACATGCTTTGACCTTTCTTCTAGTCATGTACCAACCGTCTAGACAATAGGCTTCGGCAGTGGCAGTGGACCAGACGGCATCATCGACCCAGTTCTAAACTTGAGGTCATGATTCACACTTGTGAAGCTACGGTGCAATTCAGGGAGTCTGAGTTATGATAGACATAGACAGCAGTATTGGAGGCGATAACACCCAACTGCACGGTTATATACTGTACAATGCACGCATGTAAAGTGATATTATGTAGTACGAAATTAGATTTCAACGGCGATGAAGTGGGTATGTGACGGGAAAGTGTCAGGTCCAGCGATGCAAGACGGGGAACGTGGTGCTTGCCATCCCACTCATAATGACCGACCATGACCTTGTACATACAGAGTAGAGGTCCCTGTCCAAAGGTATATCCTCGCCTAAAAGTCACTAGTCACATTAGCCCCTGTCGGTACCGAGTAGTGCAAAAGCCTCTGGAGCTTTTAGTCACTTGACTACTATAATACAGCCCATAACTTCCACTAATAACAGGCTAACATAATCTGTCCGAATCTGGCATGCAATAAAGCTTATACTCTATAGTATTATGAAATTGTGCTAAAGTACTGAATTGATTAACTACTATCTGTGTGGGATAATGCATGTAACAGGAATATAGGTACTAAGTACAAATTAGTCAAACTTGGGATATAACGCTCCTTTAACAGTCTTTTACTTCTTTTTTAAATGGCTGGATAATGTCAGGCAACGTTGAGTACCGATATCTGCACCTTACATTGGCGGTTTTAGTCTCCCACTACCCGAGCATGTGTGTACTGGCTGACAGTCGGCGATGTAACCTCATCTGGTCGCTCCGCAATAACATACTAGGATCATGACCCCAAGTCCAGCATAACAGATGGATGGATGTAGCTAATGGAATGGATGAAACAACACAACACACATGGACAAAGATGACTCGGAGTTTACTATAACACCGGCATGGAGATATTATGTCATGTTGATTTCCGAGTTGTATCTTATTAGATAATTACCATTTGAACTAGGTACCTAATCACAATGAGCTCACCTATCCTGAGTACTTGCGCCTAAGCAACGAATGAATATATTTTACCAGGGGTACAGCACTAAAATGAAGACCGTTAATAAGTAGGTATCTACTAAGGTAACGTTATTGCTCGGACCTACCAAGGAGGTAGGTAGTATTCTTCATCGCAGAATCCGTGACGCAGATACATACAATCGGGTACCAGATGTTATCTGTACCTTCCGTATGCAATTCTTAATCTACCCTACCTGCTACTTTTAGCAGAGTAAGCTACCCAAATTGGCACTCTTGGCTCAACGCCTGCCGAGTTTAGTCTCGTCACGCTCCTTTCTTCTCCCTCCGGAAGTTGCCGCAATACGGGTAGCTCGGGTGCGTCGTGACCGAGCATTGCCAGCAACCTGAATCAACAAACAGAAGTGGCAAGTAGAAACAAGAAACGGAGACTTTTTTTTTTAAAGTGCAGCCTAGATCGTCGGAGAAATTTTCGGGTTAGTTGTCCTTAATCACGTTCTTGAATAAAGAACTGAACTTGACGGCGAGGCGAGGTTAGTTGAATTGATTGACCTTGGTTATTCAGTCATACCTCGGTAGGGCGCACATAGATGAAACACTTTGTGCCGATTCAATGCGACTGTCTACATTCAGAAATCAGACGGATCTCTACCACAAACCAGAATATGCGTGCAGTTATCCGGTAATCTAAGCCACTGTGCATGTTGTCTTCAGCTCGTCAGCAGTAAGCATGATGACTCTTACTTTGTTCTTTATAATTGATCATTATTGAATACAAGTCATCAAATAACGGCACATGTAAAACTTAATTCGCTCTTTAGCGAATCATGAATCGATAGCATGAAGAACTAAGAATTATCAATTACCGACGCACCGGTACAGATACAACTTTGTTGGTTCGGCAGCACCCGAGCAGTGTTTCACAGTACTGACTTACCACAAACCTCTTCACGACATGCAAGTCGTAGGGGCACATGCTACTGACTTCAGACTTGGTTGTTTGACTTGGCATAACTAGCCTGCATCGGCGCCTGATCACTATGCATCGGGACGAGTACTATTCTGTTGAGGTTCCCAATCATCGAAAAGGGAAGGTCGATGCGTTCCCATATTTTCACCCCGTGTTAGACATTGTCTAGACTCTGGCCCCTGCATCTTGCTATGCCGTTACTATGAGACAGGAACTTGGCTCACTCAGCCGACCCCGACTTCCCTCAGTTCTTTAAGGGTTGATACCGAAATATTCAACATAGAATTGGACGTTCTAGGTACGCATGTGACGGCAGCTAGTCTTTGAATCCTTTTCCCAGCCGTTCAATAGAACCGTTGGCTAGTATCATTATGGTTCAGCCTGTTCGGGAGGAAGTGGGTGTGGACAGCCAGTAGTTGAACGAATGTTCAAGTCCCGATATTGGAAATACTACTGTTTTCCTAAAATCTCCCATCATCCGTTCACTTGGCAAGTTGGTGCCAGCTATTGATTGCATGTCTGAACTTGCAGCTACTGCGCCCTGGCTTTTGTCTGGTGGCTGAAAGCTAAATAGTCTTCTAACAACCTTCAGCGGATGAGGCACGTAGTCCAGGCCGATGATCTGATATGTTTCTTTGCCAGGTCTTGGCAATGTCGAAACTGCACAAGGGCATCGTTGAAGCTAGTTCATACATAGTCTAGGTAGCGAGATGTACTAGTTATGCATGGTATTTCGGATCTTTTCCCAGATGCCGTGAACTAAATTGTTCCTCGGCTACTCGCCCATCCGTCCCGTCTTTGTGCATTATTGACCAGTCAGTTCTTGGGGGCAGTTTACAACAGAGACAAATCCGACTGGCGGACTTATAAGTTCCTTTGGAAGGGGAGGAGGATGCTTGGGCATAACAGTACTATTATGACACTCTCTATATGTGGTATGCAACTTTATGGCGGCCGAACGCACTATCAATGACAGACGTGGCGATTCCATTTGATTATTCCAAGCAAGAGCAACCCACACGCAGCATATAGCGAGACACATTCTGACATTGGGGGTGTTGGCACGGCACATTGTGGTTTCTGTTCAATCCCCTGGCAACCCATTACGATCTGCAGACTGCAGCGGTATCAAAGCTTCTCGTCATGCATGTCCCGGAAATTATCACGGGAATCTTCCAGTACTCGAAATCCCCGTCATGTTCTCCAAAACACTTCCGCTCTACCTAATGTCTCCTTGCCCACGTAATTGAGTATGTTTGTAGCGTATACTGGCTATAAGTCTTGGTGATATTTCTAATTTCAATCAAAGTGGTGCATCAGCTCGTACAGCAGACCCCGACACAACAGCCCAGGGGGTTCATATTCCAAAAACTATTATTTCACATGTCATTCTCACGGTCTTGCATCATTTGAGGATCCCGCTGACCAATCCTAAGCTCCTTCATAGAGAAGTACCGTGATGTGTGTGAAAATCAAAGAATATAGACCGTTGAAAAGTGATGCAATATGCATCAAGGCAATGGACATTTAAGTGTTAATCCGACCATTCAGTCAAGCTCCCAACCCTACGCAAACCGATTGATCAGTTTATACCTGCCTACCTACCCAAGCAAACCGAAAGAACAAAACCCAACATGAAGAACTCTTTCCATAATTGGCGTCAGATTTCAAGCCAACTGTTGGCGGGCGTTGCTCAGAGTGGACTTACCCTGTACCAGTAATTTGGCTTAGGCAGGTACTTTCGATTGTGCTAGAATTAGCAGAAAAGAAAAGTACCTCCAAGCAGCTGTCAATGACCAACCAGAATTGAGAAAAAAGTTGATGGTGGATCAACGCATCTTTGACTTTACCAACGAAGAAGGATTTCGATCACGACCTTTCCTCTGACTGTTGCAGTCAACAGCTTAGAAACCCGGAGAATTTTGGCTAACATTCAATTGATCGAATCGAATCGAGGCGCATCGTATCATATCCAAAATGTCACAAGGTCAAGATCAAGCGGAACCGCCCTTGCCTCCCCGCAATGCCTTCATCCACAACTCTGCCATGGCTGGTGCCGTCATTCTACCCCTTGCGATGCTCCTGCCACCACGAAAGATAGATCTAAGGTTCTTCGTCCTCGCTGGAGCCTGGTCCATAGCCACAAATCAGCTCGCCTACGAATACACGGGGTCGTCAATCTACGCACGCTTCGGCAATCGCATGGGCTCCATGATGGGCACCGAGCTCCCCGAAGGTGCTCAGCGTACACAAAAACTACTACGAGAGCATCGCGAGAGAGAAGCGGCACGAAGAGTCAAGGAGGGACATCAGATCGAAGAAGAGAAGACGGGTGTGGTAGCTAAGACGCTCAACGACGTGTGGATGGGGGGTGAAGAGAAGGACTGGAAAGAGAAGCGTGTCAAGGAGCATCAACAAAAGATCGAAGAGGGCAAGGGAATTGGTGATATCATTATTGACCAGGTTGCCGATGTCTGGTATGGTAACTGGGGAAAGGGTACCAAGAAGCCTGACGACGAAAACTCGACCGAGAAGAAGTAATAATGACGACCACTACGATATTAAAGGAATCTTCAGGCATTCTGACCTGACTGTCGATGGGAATCGACATGTACAAGACCAACTGTACTACTATTGATGAAAAAGGGCAGAGAATCGTCGCAGGTCAATGCTGTTGAATTGTATAGCGAGGCGATATCGATGGATGTACCCTGAGAAGGGGATGATTCATATCATGTACAAAATACCACACTGTATAACTATGATTGGACTCAGCAACTCATTTTCTTGGTGATCTGGAAAAGCAGTCGACGGCACTGGCCGAAGGCCAGTGGCCTACCTCAGGGCATCAGAAAAGGTGGCAGCTGACGGTACGTATAAGAGACGAAATTGGTAGATCATTTATGCGATCTAGACTGGGCCTAGGCTATTAATTTCTACACGATAGAGCTTAAGGTCAACTTTTCTGTTACCTACTAAACAGCGGAATAGGGCTAGCAATGGCAAACATCTGGAAAAGAATTGATGCTGAATGTTTTAGCCCGAGTTTCCGGACCTCTGTCTGTGTCGGCCCAAATATGCGCATGGCGTCTTTGTTTGCTTTTGACCATCCAGTGGCGGGCTATGTCAATAGAACCCAACAAGGAGGGACGGAGAAAGCCATGGAGGAACTGTACCGGCTACAAATCTTGGCGTTGAGGTAAGCTGTCAGATTCAATAGCATTTAGCGGCGCATTATGTGAGTTGGTTGAGTAACTGCTTGGCATGGCTTGCAGAGGCAGCACACACAGGGTACAAGGAGACTAGCTGAGTCTGTTCTTGTCCTCAGAGTTGCGCTTCGAAGGCCTGAAGGTTGGGCATGGAATTGCCTGGGAGGTCAATCGGAATCCGTACAACAGGTGATTGATTGTGCTGATGCAATAAAACCTGGGGCTGGCACTGCATCAACGAGTTCCACTTCAAACATCCATGGATACCAAGGTAGAATACGGGGAAAATTCGTCAGCTTCGGTAGTGGCTGTGGTTGGCTTATTTGCATCAGCCACCAAGACGCATAATTCGATATGAAGCGGAATGTGGGTTGATGAGCAAGTATCTGTATATGGCTTGAAGATGATAATATTGGGACTTTGATAGCAATGGGTGCTGTTGGTATGCATAGTTTGTGCAACATAATTGTAGCAGAGTGAGTGTTTGCGGTTGACGAATGATGAGTTGGGTGGGTTACTGCGAAGAACCTAACCCAATGCGTAGACTTTTGGGTAAGGTACCTAATAGTAATGAAATAAAGTTTTATGGGATATTTGGCTTAGAGTTGAGGGGGTATTCCTTCATCCCATCTTCACGATGCGTAATTTTTGCATGTATTAAATAAGGCTCGTGGCTAACCCGTGGGCAGGGCAGTTACCGTTCTAATTTAAGAACATGTGGCGCTTAAACCCCAAAGAGTGAGGCTCAACGGCCCTCCAGTGCACTTGTGTTCCATCCAAAACCCTTTCAGACGACTCAAGTCCCAGTGATCGACCTTTTGGGTACAGGGATATATGGCTCACAGCTGTCAGCACAGCCCCGGTACTGTACGTCACTGTCACTCAATTGTGAGTTGTTTCGTCATGGCATCCAGTCAGCACGAGAATTTCTGTTCACGTTTGCTCCATGTAATGCAGAGTAAGGCATTGTAGCGTAGCAGGGATGTTACCTGAGGGTTAAGGCTGCATCAATAAAGATAGATACACAAAGAGTATTTCCCCTCTCCGTTATTCCTACTACTTTTGCCTTTCTTCACTCTTTGTTATCCGTTGTTTTTCTTTCTCCTGTGTCTGCTGCGATACGATACGAAACGGCCTATTGCCAACAAGACCAGTTTAGCGGATCTGAGACCCCTGTTTATACGCGTCGACAGTGCCTTGCAGCCAATCAGAGCCGCGATTCCACGCAATCCAGACCAGTCTTTTTACGTCCCTGGCGACCCTTGAAACAGCCCAGCTGAGGTTCAGTTCAGGACAAGACCTGGCTTGGGATTCTGACCGACCAGCCACTTTTCGTATCTTTTTCTGGTTAAATATCTTCAGACCCGAAAACGACAACACTCTCTTTGTCGTATACGGGCAGACTTTCTTGGGGACATCACTGTCTTGGATTTCTTCACCTTGCCGATCAGCTACCAGATAAGCGAATTTGTATCTGTGACGCTGTCTCGTTGCTCTGAAACAGCTTGTCGCAGTATCAGCAGCATCCCCTTCTTTCGTTGCCGCTTGGCGGCTCATTCTCCCATCCGCTGCATCACCTCTTCTCGCCGCTCGATAATATATTCTTCCTCTGCCAATCATGGCTTCGCACGATTATTACAATGGCGGCAGCCAACAGCCCCCCTACGGAGCTCCTCAACACTCCTCGCCTTACTACCAAAACCACGATACTCCTTCGCCGCAGCCAACACCAGCGCCGCCCTACGAGCAAAATTCGTACAATCCAAACTACGCTCCCGACACCTCTATCTATCCTGCCGACTCTACCACACACATTGTTCCGACCAAGCAGACACCATATTCACCTAACGATATACAATATAATCCATCGGCGGCTTATGGTAGTCCCTCTGGCCAGCACAACCAGCCTGGTCAAACTGGTCAGTCTCCTTTCGACACCGTCTTTGACGATCATGTATACCCAGCGAACCCGAACGCGGGCCCGACTCCCGGCTCCAGTACGGCTGACATTGGGCAACAAGGCTTCTATCAGGATACGAGCTATCACGGTGGAGCCACAGATGCAGCTGGGCGGCCTTACGGCCAAGAGGATATTCCTCTTCAAGACCGGACTCCAAAGAATGACGACGTTGAAATGAATGATCACGTTTACGATGCCCCTGGACGACCTAAGAAGAAGAGCAAGAAGGGTAAGGTCCGCCTCGGTGAACTTGGCATGATTGGGTCCGACAAGAAGAGAATCCCCTGGGTCGTTTACCTCTTTTCTGTCATCCAAGTTGCCGTTTTCATTGCGGAAATCGCCCGAATGGGTAAGTAGAGGAAGATTATGAAAGACAACGGTTCCAACTAACCCAAATTTAGGTATATTGACGGGAACACCAATTGCGATCAAGCCTCAGTTCAACGTCTTTATCGGTCCATCTCCAGGTCTACTCATCAATATGGGCGCTCGATACGCACCTTGTATGCGTAACGTCAAGGGTATCCAGAGTGTTGACAAGAGCAAAGATGGTGCCATTATTCCTGGCCTTCTATGCCCGAACGCTACCACGTCCGATAGTTTTTGTCCTCTCCATGTTGTGTGTGGTTTCGGCGGCGACGTCCCCGATCCTAAATTCAACGGCGATATCAACCAGAGCCCCGAGCCTAATCAGTGGTACCGATTTATCACGTCGATCTTTATGCACGCCGGCCTTATTCATATTGTCTTCAACCTCCTTCTGCAGCTCACGATTGCGAAAGAGATGGAAATGGCTATCGGACCAGTCCGATTTTTACTGGTCTATATGAGTGCTGGAATCTTTGGCAACATCATGGGTGGGAATTACGCGCCTCCAGGGCAGCCATCGGTTGGTGCTTCTGGTGCCCTCTTTGGTATTATTGCTCTAGTTCTCCTTGATCTCCTCTACTCTTGGAAGGACAGACGCAACCCAGTCAAAGACCTCCTCTTTATCATTCTCGACATGGTGATCGCCTTTGTGCTTGGGCTTTTGCCCGGTTTGGACAACTTTGTACATATTGGTGGTTTTTTGATGGGACTCTCCCTCGGTGTTTGTGTTCTGCACTCGCCTAACTCGCTGCGACGACGAATGGGCGATGGGCTGTCTTATGCAGCCGTATCTCCCCAGACGGGCGAGACGCCCCCTCACTTCTTCAAGAACCCTGTTGGTTTCTTCAAAGGACGAAAGCCACTCTGGTGGGCTTGGTGGCTCGTTCGAGTAGCCTTCCTCGTTATGATCATTATTGTTTTCGTCGTTCTCCTCAATAACTTCTACAAGTACCACGACACCTGTGAGTGGTGCAAGTACTTGAACTGCCTTGTAAGTTTCCCAACGGCCCGTAAAGACAAGCGCATCAACTGACTTGAGACAGCCTATTAATGACTGGTGTGAGTGGGGATCTTTCGAGAATCTCAAGCCCGCCTAAAAGACACATCGACTCAATGAGATGGGGCGTCATGCCGGCGGAGACATAATTGAACGCTATCATCGAGTCAATAGTGCATGGCTCTAGACAGCGGCATGCATATTGCACAGAATTGGCATTGTTGGGCAAACGTGGTATTGCTCCCTTGACCTTGCTAGGACTGATGGATGTTAGTTCTTGTTTTATAGTGTTAATTCATGAAGCAATGACATATTCATATATATCTCGTTCGTAATATAGCCATAGTATTCGAATCGGTACTTTTCGGAACAGGCGTGTATTGTGATACTGGGACTGTTTACGGGTAGTATTCTGATTAGGAATATATCAGGCATTTCACCAATACGAACACACCTACATGGATGCAAGACATGGGTTGGCAATTCTATTACATGAGCTTGCAGCTCTTGGCTTTGGTCAGGCTTGACCAACATATCATATCATGCTATACCCCGCATGTTGTTACGTGTGTGAATGGAAGGGATGGCACACCTTGTCTGCTTGTTTGATGATTTATCACTGCGGTAGTATAAATGGTACTCTTACCTCCTGTCCTTTCCCTGGTCATTTGTGAATGTGTGCAATCTCTTCCACAATGGCTTAAGACGACTATACATATCCTAAGATTGAGAAGGTAGGGATTCGCTATTTATTATGCGGCATGGAAATCCGCAGTGTCCTGCAAGTAAGTCTTTGGAAGCTTTACTTTACGTTTTCTCATGATGAATGTTTTACAATGCATGGCTTAGCTGAATATCCCGAAAGGGGCTACGGATGCTTTTAGAATGGATGTCTGAACATGTTATTTTCTCATTACACAATCAGTTATTTTATGGCAGCATTACTGACTGAAAGGTATAGACGTTACATAAGGGGTCAATTCTGAACGACTCAAGTAACATTGTTGGAATAGATATGTAGTCAATCCTTGGGCCGATTATGAGAAAAATAGTTCTGAGACAATTTACAGTTTTGAGAAGAAAAAAAGAAGAAGAAGAAGAAAACCTCAAATCTCTATCATGACAATTTGGCCATTAGTGAAATCGATTCAAACAACGTTGATACCTTGTCTAGTAGCTCTATGCCAGCGCGAAACCACGTGACTAACGCTTACACGACTCGAGTGGGTTCTTCACGTCACGCTTTTCGAGTCGCGCTACGCGGTAGCTATCAATTAAAGTCGTGTCATTGAATCTAAACCCACCAAGAAATCTCCCCTGTTAGAGTCTCCCCTCCAACCGTTTAGTGTCAACAATCAGAATCGACCAAAGAATTCCTCAATCACTTTTTATCTTCATCCTTGTGTATGCGGATGTGATTGTTGAATAATCCCTTTCCTTTCTTTCACTCCTTTTCTGTTCTTTCTTACAAAGCATAGCATTTGCCATCAGCCGCTATCATGGCAAGCGCAATTGCTTCCCATAAGCGAGTCCTGAGCGAGAACAACGCTCGCCAGAATATCACATCCTCTCCAGCTTCAACAAAAAAACGCAAGGTCGATGCAGTCCCCTCGTCCCCTGCCGCCGCTCGGGTCCCCGGCTCTCAGAATGACCACCGATCCAAGATGGCGTCCAGTCAGCCAAAGAGCGCTTTCGAATCAGAAGTCCTCGAGAAACTCAGCCAGGACTTATCGGACAGGAAACGAAACAGTGCCGAAAAAGATCAAGCATGGGATCGACCACCCGTAGTCGACTTCGTCCCGGAGCGTGACAATCTCTGCTTCCAGGCTATCGAGGCTGAGGAGGGCACATTGCATGGCGGACGAGCCACCGTCAAGCTCTTTGGCGTGAACGAGGCAGGAAATTCGGTCATGTTGCATGTTACCGACTTCAAGCATTATCTCTACGTCCCCGCTCCAGTGAACTTCCAGCCTCAGGATTGCGCAGCTTTCAAAGCCTACCTGGAGACACAGGTTGCCCAGCACCAACCCTCGATCCACTCCGTTGCTTTCGCCATGAGAGAAAACATCTACGGATTCCAGGGCAACCAGTCCAAACCATACTTGAAAGTCACCGTGACCGACCCCAAGTTTATAAACAAAGTCCGAACGACTATCCAGAGTGGCAATGCGAACTGGAAGGGAATGTGGAGGAATGATGGTGAAGTTCAAACTTTCGACAACCTACAATATTTGCTGCGATTTATGGTTGACTGCAAGGTAAGGACTCCCATGTGACTTGATAGTCTAATCCTAACATCCAAATAGGTCCGAGGAATGTCATGGGTCGAAGCCCCAGCAAAGACGTATAAGCTTATCAACGACCACATCCGCCAGTCGAACTGTCAGATTGAAGCCGAAGTTAGTTATCTTGATCTCATCGCACACGAGCCAGTCGGCGAATGGTCGAAAATGGCTCCTCTGCGTATTCTATCCTTTGATATCGAATGTGCTGGTCGCAAGGGTATCTTTCCAGAGGCGAACCACGACCCCGTTATTCAAATCGCCAATATTGTCACCAAATATGGAGAGAAGAAGCCCTTTGTTCGAAACGTGTTTTGCTTGCAAGAGACAAGTTCTATTGTAGCAACTCAGATTCTTGCATATGAAAAGGAGGAGAAGATGCTTAGCGACTGGCAAAAGTTTCTGATCAGAACAGACCCTGACATCATTACGGGCTACAATATTTCAAACTTTGATTTCCCGTACCTGCTGGACCGAGCCAAGCATCTCAAAGTAGCTGGTTTTGAATACTGGACTCGAATCCCCAGCATGCAATCCCGAGCCAAGGAGACCAACTTTTCTAGCAAGCAGATGGGCAACCGAGACACTAAAGCTACCAACACGAACGGCAGGTTGCAATTAGATCTCCTTCAGCTAGTTCAGCGCGATCATCAACTTCGAAGTTACACTCTGAACTCTGTGTGTGCCAATTTCCTGGGCGAGCAGAAGGAAGATGTGCATCATACCATGATTACCGAACTTTTCAACGGCACACCTGAGTCCCGAAGACGTCTTGCGTTATACTGCTTGAAGGATGCATACCTCCCGCAGAGACTGATGGACAAACTTTCGTGCTTAGAAAACTACACTGAGATGGCAAGAGTCACAGGTGTGCCCTTTAACTTCTTGCTGTCTCGAGGTCAGCAAGTCAAGTTCATCAGTCAGCTGTTCCGAAAAGCACTGGAACAGAAACTCGTTATCCCCAACCTCAAGTCTGAAGCTTCTGATGAGCAATACGAGGGTGCTACAGTCATCGAGCCCACCCGAGGTTACTACGATGTTCCAATTGCCACTCTGGATTTCGCATCTTTGTACCCAAGTATCATGCAAGCTCATAACCTTTGCTACACCACGTTGGTCAGCAAGAAAGCAATTGAAGCTTTCAATCTCCAGAAAGACGAGGATTACATTGTCACCCCCAACGGCGATACTTTTGTGACGACCAAGCAACGCAAGGGTTTACTAGCGCAGATTCTCGAGGAATTGCTTGCTGCGCGTAAACAGGCCAAGCGTGAACTAGCCGTTGAGACAGACCCCTTCAAAAAGGCTGTGTTGAACGGTCGACAGCTGGCTTTGAAGATCAGCGCAAATAGTGTGTACGGTTTAACGGGTGCAACGACAGGAAAGCTTCCTTGCCTTGAAATTGCCAGTAGTACAACGAGTTTTGGCCGAAAAATGATTGAGAAGACTAAGGAAGAAGTGGAAAGTCGCTACAACATCGCCAACGGATACTCACACGACGCCCAGGTCATCTATGGTGACACTGATTCGGTCATGATCAAGTTTGGTACCAAAGACCTCCAGGAGGCCATGAGGCTTGGAGAAGAAGCATCGAAATACGTGTCGGAAAAGTTTGTGAAGCCAATCAAGCTTGAATTCGAAAAGGTATATTTTCCATACCTACTCATCAACAAGAAGCGATATGCAGGTCTATACTGGACCAAACCAGAGAAGTACGACAAGATGGACACCAAGGGTATCGAGACGGTGCGCCGTGACAATTGTCTCTTGGTACAGACCGTGATTGAAAAGGTCCTACGAATGATTCTGATCGATCAAGATGTTCCAGGTGCACAAGAGTAAGTTCTCCCTCCGATCATGCTCCATCATGCACAAGGTTGTCAAGCCTTATCTGGTGGCACAGGGCGAAAGCGGGATGCTAACGGAAGATTCACTAGGTACGTCAAAGAGACGATTGCAGATCTACTGCAAAATAAGGTCGACATGTCGAAATTGGTCATCACAAAAGCCCTTACAAAAGACGATTATGCCGCAAAGCAAGCCCACGTCGAGCTGGCGCAACGGATGAAGAAGCGAGATGCAGGCTCGGCGCCGGGACTCGGCGACCGAGTGGCCTACGTCATGATCCGAGGTCCTGCCGGCGCCAAAAACTTCGAGAAGTCGGAGGACCCCATCTACGTGCTTGAGCACAACGTGCCGATAGACACGCGCTACTACCTAGACAACCAGCTAGCCAAGCCACTTGGGCGTATTTTCGAACCGATTCTCGGGGAGACTAAGGCGCGATCTCTACTTACAGGCGACCACACTCGTGTCATTTCGGTAGCAGCTCCTACAGTTGGAGGTCTCATGAAATTCGCCAAGAAGACACAGACATGCATGGGCTGCAAGAAGCCTCTGACAGGAAAAGAGGAGTCCGAGGGAGCGGTATGCTCCAATTGTGCACCTCGAGTCGGAGAGCTTTACAAGAAGACGCTTGATCGCGTCTCAGACCTTGAGGTGCGCTTCGGACGACTGTGGACCCAATGTCAACGCTGCCAGGGTAGCATGCACTGCGAGGTTATCTGCAGTAGTAAAGATTGCCCCATCTTCTATATGCGCATGAAAGCTAAGAAGGATCTCGAGGACGCTGGTCGCGAGCTCACTCGCTTTGATGCTGATCAGGCGGCCATGTGGTGAGGAAGAGTAACTGCAGGTCGAGGTTTGTTTCTTGAGATGTGGTTTGATAAAACGATATAAGCTGTGTAATGCAAGAGCTGCTGTTGGAAGAGTGGTCAGTGATAGGTATATCGTATGTATAGTCGCAAGGATGAGATTGACGGCTCTACATAGTTATTTTATGTACGTAAGGCGTTTTGGGGTTTCGAGCTGGAGCTCAACTTTGCTACAGATATTACTACATTCATGTCAGACAGAATAGAGCATATGATATTGGACATAAATTTACGGTTCAAGGATATTTCTTTAACGAGCGGCATGACCAATTAGTGAGATCAGTTCACTGCTAAGTTGGCAGAAAGCAATGATGGATTAACATGTGCAATGGAATCATTTGCATCTCCTTTGAGGCAAAGAGATGAATGGCATGATTACTCGACCCATGTGTTTTTGAGGGCTTTTACCCCTTGCTCTATGGAGTAGTTGAAGTTCCTTGGAAATACATACTCCGCGGGAGCGAATCCTGGAACTGGCCGTGAATAGACCGAAGACATTGTACTAGTAATTGACTGGTGTTGAGGTTTATAAAAGAACGAGAAGTTTTCGGCATGGTAAGTGAGGATAGACGGAATGGATCGGAACGGAGTCATGCTCAATGCCCAAGAGTAAGGATCATGGTATGAGGGGTGTAGGTGGGGGTCAAAGTCATGATGGAAGTGAAGGGTCGGAGATAATTTTCATGGACAAATAGATTCATGATAGTAGTGGTCAAAGCCCAAAGAACAGTCCTGGTCTTTGGTGGTTCGGTGGTTTGTTCCGGACATTTTACTGTAAACGGTGGCACTCGGAGGGATTCCGAAGTGTAGGACTAAGTTCAGTTCGAGTGGACATGTATCTCCGGATGGATCTGTGAGATCAGATCCGTAAACGGCGGACCAGAATCATTTACTGTACAGCGAGTAAGTTGCTAGAGAGGCGGCCTCGGGCAAAATAGTAGCGAAGGGTGAAACGGCGGGAGACTAAGGGTGGCTAATCGGTCCGGGGACGGGGAGGTATTGATGAGAGAATATTGGCCTCCCCGGATTTTACAGTATGATCCCAGCAATTGTCTAGTCCTAGTATCCCCGCCATCAAGAGACAAGAGGCGAGGCACGGTTCGGGAAAGGATTTCGGTAACGTATGATGGGTGGCCTGGGGTTGACTGTGTCATGGTTTGATAGTGTAGTAGATCTTTTTTTGTGAAGAGCAAAGATAAAGAGTGTCATTGGCTGAAGTGTGAGTTGATGTCAATTCATTCTTCAAACAAGATGACAAGGCGACCAATGAGAATGGCATGATAGTATCTAGACTTACATAAGTACTGTACTGTAACAGTTCAGGGTCCGGGGGGAGTGCCGATATGTGCTTGAGAATGAATTGGACCAGGATGATAATTTACCAGCAACTAGAAAACTGCAGGTTCGCATGGTCGGAGGAAGAGGCCGGGGAGGAAGAGGAGAGAGACAAAGAAACTAGGGTAGCATGCGCAAGATGCGCTGCAGGTGCAGCGGTATTCCCGCATAGTTACGACTTTTCTGATTCGACCAAAACCAAGATTAATTTCCTTTCCTGGATGTTGAATAGTTGTTTGGATTCAGAATTGGTAATGGATTGTTTGATTTGATGCGCTTGGTCGGGCTAAGATCCCGGGAGCTTGGCTGTTGATGCAATTGACACGCGACAGACAGTTTAATGTTTACATTTAGGTTATTATGAGGCAGGTAGATAAATTATGGCGGCTAAAATGATATCGTCACGACTTGATGCATTTTATTACCCTACATGTTGACCAACCTGGAATACAGCAAGAGACTCGCAGTGATAACTGTCGATGGAGTTGACTGAGAATACACTTACTTGAGGGTCTACAATGAAACAACCAGTTCAACTTGACGCAGAGCAATGCCTAAAAACGAATATCGATGATTGATGCTGATGATTTCATCAAAACCAAGATAAGGTGGTCAGTAATATGAAGTAACCCCCACTACACGGGAAAAGAGCGACAGTGGCGCGCGTGGAGGTTGCCTTTAGCACAGAGCGAATGGAAAAGATCTGATAATGAAACGGAATAATGAGGGTTGGCTAATAAGAACCGTATCATGATGGATGAATGGCTCGAGATTGATCTTTACTAGACAGGGAATGGCCACGCATGGCTGTAACTAACTTTGTACCAAGACGGTAGGCAGGACCTACATCACCGACAGGGAGAGCGAATATCGGAGGGTGAAGATCCAATAGGTGTCCAAGCACCAGGAGGCAGCGGCAGATTAGCTACTAAGCTACCTGCAGTGCTACCATGTAATGATTGCATTGTTGATGTGCGCGACATATGAGAGATCCAATTGATGGTGGGGAATAGACGGCGGCGTTTCTACCGATGGAAGGACTCTCTGTGCGGCATATGAGGATACCCTTGGGTGTATTGTTAGTGGTTATCACATGTCGACGATGAAAGTCTACCATCAACAACAGAATAATTAATCAACTGTAAATACCAGTAGTTACCTTAGGCAGGTAAGTACTACTGATTGCAGAAATAAAGCATTGTTAATTTATCTCTCAATTATAAAAAGCCATTTGCAATGTGTTATAAAACCCCCGGGTGTACTCTCTAATCCCTGGTGTGAGTGGGTACTGGGGTTTATCGGGAACGACCAAGATTAGGCCAGGGTGTGTCTTGTCACTCGATTAGATGGGATAATAGTAATGCGGGTGCGTATCGAGTGAGCTTTTTTATTCTATCTATCTCTGAACACGGCAGTCGAGGTACTTGGATATACTCCCGCTTTACCTGCCGCCTTCATGTACTGTCTTCCGCTCCTCCCCTTTGATATGGATATGGATATCGGATGCGGACACGGACGGGACGGGGACGTGGGTGCAATGACGGAAAGAGCCAGAGGATAATTGATGTGCCCATCTCAACAACCATATAAACCTCGAGGCCCTTCGTCTTCTATTCGAGTTAACTACCGCTTCATCTCACTCTTGTGCAACACATTAAATATATCGAATCTGTCAGAAACAGTCCTCAAAAACCAGACATCGACTATAAACTCCTTCGATATACACCCCAAATGCAGCTTAACACTATGTCTCATCTTCCTCAAGAGCCCGAGTTCGAGCAGGCTTACGGCGGTAAGCAATCTAATCCACAGTAAACCAAGAAACTCGATTCTAACTTGAACTCTTAGAGCTCGCCTCTGCCCTCGAGAACAGCTCCCTCTTCAACGAGCACCCTGAGTACCGCACTGCTCTCGCTGTTGCCGCCATTCCTGAGCGTGTCATCCAGTTCCGCATCGTCTGGGAAGACGACAAGGGCAACCTCCAGGTCAACCGTGGCTACCGCGTCCAATTCAACTCTGCTCTCGGTCCCTACAAGGGCGGTCTCCGATTCCACCCCAGCGTCAACCTGTCCATCCTCAAGTTCCTTGGTTTCGAGCAGATCTTCAAGAATGCCCTGACTGGCCGTAAGTAACCTCTTCGCCGCGCTTATTTGGGCCCTTAATCGTTCCTGCATATTGCGGGGTAACGGGAGTGGCTCAGAGCAACATGAGAAATAGATTTACTAACAAAGCTTTTAGTTAACATGGGTGGTGGCAAGGGTGGTGCCGACTTCGACCCCAAGGGCAAGTCCGATGCTGAGATCCGACGATTTTGCCAGGCCTTCATGACTGAGCTGTCCAAGCACATTGGTGCCGAGACTGATGTTCCTGCTGGTGATATTGGTGTTGGTGGCCGCGAGATCGGCTACCTCTTCGGTGCTTACCGCAAGCTTCGCAACCGCTGGGAGGGTGTCCTTACCGGTAAGGGTCTCTCTTGGGGTGGCAGCTTGATCCGACCTGAGGCCACTGGCTACGGTCTTGTCTACTATGTCGACTACATGCTCAAGCATGCCAACCGTGGCAGCTTCGAGGGCAAGCGTGTTGCTCTCTCTGGTTCTGGCAACGTTGCCCAGTACGCTGCTCTCAAGATCATCGAACTTGGTGGTTCCGTCGTCTCTCTGTCTGACTCCAAGGGAGCTCTCGTCGCCAAGGAGGGTTCCTCTTTCACTCCTGAGCAGATCCACAACATTGCCGCCCTCAAGATTAAGCACCAGTCCCTGACTGCTTTTGAGCACCAGGACAAGTTCACTTGGATCGAGGGTGCCCGCCCTTGGGTCCATGTTGGCAAGGTTGACATTGCTCTCCCCAGCGCTACTCAGAACGAGGTCAACAAGGAGGAAGCCCAGGCCCTCCTGGAGGCTGGTGCTTTCATCGTTGCCGAGGGTTCCAACATGGGTTGCACTGCTGATGCCATTGACGTCTTTGAGGCTCACCGCAAGGAGAAGGGTGCACAGGCTCTTTGGTACGCTCCAGGAAAGGCCTCCAACTGTGGTGGTGTCGCCGTTTCTGGTCTTGAGATGGCCCAGAACAGCCAGCGTATCCAGTGGTCCGAGAAGGAGGTTGATGACCGCCTTAAGGCCATCATGAAGGATGCCTTCGTCGCCGGCCTTGAGACCGCCCAGAAGTATGTCGAAGCCAAGGAGGGCGAGCTTCCCAGCTTGGTCGCCGGTAGCAACATTGCTGGCTTCATCAAGGTTGCTGAAGCCATGCACAACCAGGGCGACTGGTACTAGGATGGACAATCCGGGAAAGCATGAGGCGAGAGATCCGAGACTAACAGGAAGACCGTTATACCCGAGCTGAGCTCACATCAAGGTTATTTGGTCCTTCAGAACTCTCACAAAGTCTCTGCTTATTTCTGCATGGAATGGCGTTCTCTTTGGCACTATCTGGGCATGCATTCTGTAGGGCGTTGGAGGGGTTCAAGAATGGAACATTGTCTTTACTTTTCTTCTAGATAGACTGGATTGGATTTTGCGATTTGTTTACTTTTCTATAGCCCGGTAGTACTCAGAATAAAAGAAGATACTTTATTCAAACATATGATGCCACCGTGAAACTTCTATGAATGTGACCATGGCCCTTTTGATATGTAAACACTACTCAGATAATATCTTTCATGTCCAATCCTAGCCGATTCCTTATTGTTTTATGACGAGAATTCAGAGAAGTATCGCGATGGTGATTTTCACGTTCAACGGCTTCATACACCATAACTTTGTATAGTAATGATGACGGCGGAATATGGCCTTGCAATATGATTTTAGTAAGAAATGTCTCGACCCAGAGGTTGATTTCGCAATAAACCAACCTGGATGAGTGATTGCACAGTGACAATTCAGTCACGTATAGTGACTAAAATTGGGTAAGGCTCTGCGTCGAGAGCATCGCGCCTCGGTCAATGGTGACAGAACAAAGGCGCAGATTCAAGATCTATCAAGGACATGGCATGAAGTATAGACTTGCTGTCAGCCAAGCATATCACAGCCTTATCCAGGACTGTCATATCCCAGAGAGCCGATCTAATACTCCCCCACTCCCACTCCCACTTTCACTTACTCGAAATAGAAGTTACTACGTCTACGCCTGACCAGAACAGCTAGAAGGTCCTTGTACTACATCCCCTTATTCAACGCCTTACCTTGCCTTGCTGTATAGTATGTACTCTTCTGTACTGCCATGTAAGACTTGAGTTGATAGCCGCCATAGCCCCCACTTTGCCGCGCCGTGGGTAAAATGTCAGGGGTCATGGGCCGAGTGCGCGGGATAACCGGGGCCGGAGGTGGAACCTCGGTTTGTGATGGTATCGCGGGGTAGTAGCTTGACATTCTTTTAAGTTGACAAAGACTTAACATAGAACATACTCTTATATATATATATTTAATATCATAGTTGTTAAATTGCATCCATTTTCCCGTCTTTTAAAGACTGCAACGTTAATGCCCAATATGACAAGCCCTCCTCCTTTAACCGGCATCAAGGTACTGGAATTTGCTGGTCTTGCTCCTGGTGAGTCCTCCGGAGCCAATAATATGCTTGTTTAACTTAGGTTTAGGCCCCTATGCTGGCATGCTTCTGGCCGACGCAGGCGCTTCAGTCCTTCGCATTGACCGCGCATCGTCCGGCGCATCGCGTCCAACAGAGGACGTGTTGGCCAGACACAAGGCGTCCATCTCCGTGGACCTCAAGTCAGAGCGTGGCATATCTCTAATAAAGCGCCTAGCCGTAAGTGTAGATGTTCTCATCGATCCCTTCCGTCCTGGTGTTCTTGAGAAGCTTGGTCTGGGTCCAGACGCACTGTGCACCCTCAACAAGAGACTCATCTACAGTAGAATGACTGGCTTCCGTCGCGATGGAAAGTATGCACTCATGGCAGGCCATGATATAAACTATCTCGCTGTTTCGGGAACACTAAGTATGCTGGGAAGAGACGGAGAGAAGCCGCATCCACCGATGAATATCCTTGCAGACTTTGCTGGTGGAGGAGCCGTACTGTTTCAAGGAATCTTGATGGCTGTCATATCGAGACAGTCATCTGGATGCGGACAGGTTGTCGAGGCAAACATGGTAGACGGAAGCTCACATCTGACAACCTTTCCTCGGATGGGACTCAAGACGCCGATAGGGAACAGAGGTCGAGGAAAGAATCTCCTCGACGGGGCTGCCCCATTTTACGACACATACATAACCTCTGACGGAAAGTATATGGCCGTCGGTGCTCTAGAGCCACAATTCTTCGCAGCGCTGCTCAAAGGTCTTGGACTTGCGAATCAAGGGTGGGAAGGAGACCAACAGGATAGAACGCGCTGGCCCGAACTGCACAAGTTAATGGCCGACACGTTCCGCAGTAAAGCCCGTACCGAGTGGGAGGCCATATTTGACGGTACAGATGCGTGTTGTACTCCTGTACTGGAGTACAGTGAACTTGAGACGGATCATAATCGGGAGGGCGATCAACGGCCGGCGGTAACGTTGCGAGAGACGCCGTGTTTAGCCGTGAAAGAGGGTGTCGGGCATGTCGACCCGGTTCGATTTGGACAAGGACCTGGTGTGCCTGGAAATGGATACAAAGCAAATTTGCTGAAGCCAGGAGCGGGAGGAGAAGAAGTGCTGAGGCAATGGATGGGGTGGGAGAACGGAAGGGAGTATGCGTCGCATCTCGGGGGTCTGGTGCTGAAAGAGACGTCAAAGCTTTGATTTGAATGGCTTAATATTGATCAGTAACTATGATTCAGACGATGTAGTCTTAATCAATCAGTCTTTGTAAAACTTTAAGAAAAATACATCTTTCGCCAGCTTAACCGATTTCTATATTGCTTAGCGTGATATTTTATACGAAAACAAAAAACAATAACAATAAAAATAGATAGCCCAGTCTTCAGGATACCAGAAAGATTAACCGCTGGAACTATAAGAGATGAAATTAGTTGATCAGTGTATGCTCCTTAGACTATAGTTCTTAGACTACTTATTTTCATAACCTAAGACTTACAAGGCTAACTTTTCTACTACCTACTATCTAGCCAGTTTCAGGAGAGGAATTCTGTATGTATTTATGCTATAGCCCTCTAGAACTTATGTATAGGTAATGGTGATCTTGTACTTGACCCTTCTTTCTCCAGCACAGAAACTCCACCAAAACCATGCTATCTTTCGTCTCTATCCCAAGTGTTGGCATCGTTGGCACGGTTCTGAAGGTATCGGGCTCGAATTTCGGCGCTGTGCGATTTGTTGGTCCAACTTGGCGACTGTTAGCTATTTAATCAACCATTGCAAAGACTACTCACATCTTCAGTCGGCCATCGTCCCCGCAAGATGCTATGACATAAGGATCGGTGGGATTCCACGCAACGGCGTTGCAACGAGGGTGGTGCCCAGGCAGCCGTTCTATTGCCGCGCCTGTGTTCTTGTGCCATATTAGAATATTCCCATCTTCGCTACCACTCACGACAAAACTCTCGTTGGCTCCGCCAAAAGAGCTGCGTATCATGTAATCACCACCTGTGTGTCCGAAGAATTTCTGCACCGAATTGCGTGTCACAAGGTCAATAAGCTGGGCCTCGCCGTCGGATTTGTTAATGAGCAAATGACGTGAGTCTTGACTGATGCTTACGGACGTTGGTCGGTTGTTAAGCTCCATATCAAACTCAAGTTCATGTGTGGTGGCGTTGTAGACGTGAATTCTTCGTTCGTTGTCGAGAGCCACGAGCCATCGGCCATCAGGCGATCCACATAGATCCTCGACGCGATGCTTCTTTCCCCAATCGTATACCTCACTACCTGTGTGTAGGTTTATTGTGCGCAAGCTCGATGCAGGATCTAATGTACCGAGAACAAAGGACCGGTTGTCATGAGCCCAAACACAACCACTGACAGGTTCTGCGAATCTGTTAAACTGCCTTATCAGATGCCCATCCTATATTTCGCGGTTAGCATTGTACCAAGCTAGACAACACATGGATTACTTACGCTAGTAGACCAAAGCCTCGCATATCCATCTCTTGCACAGCATAAAATCATCGAATCATCAGGGCTGAATGACATATTACCAACGCCTTCATCATGACCATCAAGAACCTTTGCAACAGAGAAAGTATGTGTGTCCCATATTACAACCTGCCGACCACTGCCACAGGCAGCCAGCCTCGAACCATCATGTGAGAATTGTACCTGCCAGATCTCATCATTCATGTCAGTGAGGTCCAGCGCCACCTCTGTTGGAAACCATCGTCTGTCACAGAAGTGGTCTGAGTAGAGCGATGGCGATAATGCCTGCGTATGATACAAGCAAGTATCAATCTGGCTCTGCTTAACCTGCTCGAGAAGAACTGCCAGGCGGTTCTCTGGTAGCATTACTGAAGGCGATATGCATTCTTCCTACGTCAGCACGAAGTTCCATGGGGGCATTGCGAATTTACTCACTTGACAACTCTGAGAGGAGCAACTTTCGTGATTGGCCATTGGCACCATCCCAGTCGGCTTTAGCCATAAGATCGTCAACAGAACGACACATCAAAAGACTTGATAAGAAATGCAGTTTCCCAGTATCATGAGAAAGCGGTGTCAGCTCACTTCGGAGTACGACAAGAGCCCGGCTGGTGTCTTTCTGTTCTAGAAGCTCCAGAAACTTCTGTTGTCTTAGCCAGAACCGGATGGCATTGCGATCTGCACTCGGTGCCAGAACAAGCCCGTTCCCTTGACCCTCGGTCTCGAATGACGCCCCAGCAAGAAGCTCTTCAGCCTTGGACCAGGAGCCACTGAGCACTGCTGACCTGAAACCAGCTACAGTCGGGCTCTCCAGTTCGTAGCCGCTTTCGCGGCTTACATTATCAGCGGCAGTTTGATAACCCATATCTGCCAGTGCTTGTATCAACAATCGAGTAACCTCTTCGCGGTTGTGCCCGAAGTATTCGGAGGGCATCCCATGGCCTTTAGTGATTGTGCTATTGTTGTCGCGGTTCGTCGAACCATTCATGGCAGATTTATGACCATTAGTGACCCCCATAGATGGCTCAGTTGAGCCGTTAGAAAAACCTAGAGGAGCACCATTATGGGTATCGAGGATGTCGCTCCCACCCATCGTGTCGTTTTCTCTCCGTCGTTTGGTCGGCGGCTCAGTGAGATCGTTGTCTGGCGCTTGAGAGCTGTCGGGCTGGGGATCGGAGGGGCCGCCAGAAGTCGGAGAACGTCGACGTCGTCCGAGTGCTTGAGTCGGCGTCTGACCCGGAAGTCGTGCAGGGTTGGCAACTGAAGAGTCTATATTCGCGATGCCTGTCCGAGCTCGATTCCGGTTCTGTTGGTGGGCGGAGGAAGGGGTCGAGCTTTGAGTCAAAGAGGCGGTGGAGGAATGATTAGAGTTGATCGTGCTAACGTTAGAAGAAGTCGGAGGAGGGTGAGGATATGGCATGTGACGGGGCAATGCGGTTCAAAGGTGAGAGTAAAGCGCCAGAAGGCACTTGTTTTGTCAGTGTCTTTAGTGACGACAAGTATTGACAAGGCTAGTGTATGCTGATATCAAGCTCTACATTTGGTGTTGAAGGGAGTAACCGAGTTGACGTTGAGATGTTGTTGTTATGTTTAAGGTAGAGTCATCTGTTGTCGGTGCAGGTAAGGGAGTAATGTGCTAGGTGCCTGCCACTTCCCGTTCTGTCCGTTCCATCCACCAGGCGTAGGCGGTACCTGGCTTCTGTTTGGGCGGGCTCCATGGTGAGGTCACCCCCGCCATCAGAAGCCCCAGGATCTGGGTACTAAGGTAGACTAGCGGCGTACTTTAGCGAGTAGGTGCACTTACAAAGCATTGAACCTACCTTTCCCCTAGCCCAGCTTCAATTGTCTTCAGTGGCTCAACAGCCAACGCAATTATCTGAATCATAAATAAATACCTACCCGGGTGAGGAGAGGTCTGGAGCAGAGGTGATTTTCGACAGAATGAACACACTCTCTTAGGAAGGATCGATCTTGATAGATAACAGATTTTATAAAGGACAGTCAATTAACAGATCTAACATCAAGATAACAGTCTAAAGGTATAGTAATCTATTCCTTCTTAAAACCTTATACGCAATACATAAAGAGGTCAGAGGTATACCTAAAAAATCAACAAGAGGCAAAAATATTCTATCTTTGCTATAGCAATCGTAACCTAGACCCCCCTTCCTCTCGCTAGGTAGTATGTAAAAGTCAGTATTTATCTAGGCTCTACAAGCAAGACAGCATCTACATACTTTCGCAACTAGTATTTTAATCAAATCAGGAATAAACATAATTTTTTTAACTCTCAGCAATCTCGAGGAGTGATATTCAAAGTTGGGAAAGTAACAGGTATACCTACCCCATGAGGTCAGCACTGTTGTTCCAGATGTAACTATATTCTTTGAAACTAATCTACCAACCTCGACCGCCATTCTGTCTTGCAAGATGGATCTTAGCTTCTTATCAATATCCCTTGTGACTAATGATCCACTCCTCTACATACCTAGGTAGATGATTATCTCACACGCATGATCCTTCCCAGTAACACTATTTCTAGACTTGCGTGATTCTGGGTCATTCACTGGCCTAGTCACCTACTTCCCACTCCTAGGCGAGAACATAAGGGTTCATCGCGAACATGGGGCTTGCTGTGTAAGTGAGTGTAGTACGTCAAACACGATTTTGCAACAGTGTTTTTCTTACATCATGTATGGTGAATCCAAACTGCCGAGTTTCTCCTTGATGCTATGTATAGCAAGTATGTTGATGCTCGCCCATATTCTTAACCGTTTTTTTTTTTTTCGACATTGAAAGTTGGGTATCGAGGCGTCCAGCAATAACAGCTAGCTAGCTGCCTGAGCGACCGTATTGCCAGTTTCGTCATTTGGGTTTCTTTAGTACAAGCCTTTGTCAGGCACCCATATATCCCATATACAATCAATTAAGAGCTGACGTTTCCTTCAGGCTGCCAAATTATTAACAACAGGTTCAGCCACAGTAAAGGTTCGGGTAATCACGTGCCTCACTTCCCATCACCATGCTATCACAGGTGATGACAGGCAATATACTACCTGCCTAACCTGCTGCGCCACCTGTGGCACACAATAAGGACGTAATGCGGCGCGCAACTCTTAGTGCCATTAGGCTCGTGAACTCGGTGTCGTCTTGCGAGTCCCTCCTTTATTCTACCAACACCCCGTATTTCCCATATACTACGACCTGCCTCTCCTGAACGTTTTCTACTCTTGCGCTCTACATAAACGGCACCAGTCAACATACATCAGGGCCGTTCCAACGCTTATCGTCAAGACTGCGCAACGCTTCCTACAATCTTCCACGCCGACCGCTTCCCGAAACTCAGCTATCTGCCCCCTCCGCACTGTTCGTTCTCGACACGAAACGGCCATATACACACTTCGAGCTTACATACGAGCTGGGAAATAATACTTGAAGATGAGCGGCTCCCTTGTTTCACAGGGTGGCATCTCGGATCCTGCCCTGATCACGTCAGTTCCTGCTGTAACTCCTACCATGTTCTATCTCTAACCCCCACCGTAGACTCGTGAACAAGCTTCAGGATGTTTTCGCTACTGTTGGTGTCAACAATCCTATTGACTTGCCTCAAATTGCCGTCGTAGGAAGTCAGTCGAGTGGAAAGAGTTCAGTTTTGGAGAATATCGTTGGCCGAGACTTGTGAGTTTGCCCCATACCGCCTATTCTGCGTTGCGTCTTTATGAATATGAAACTGACAATTCTTCTCAGCTTGCCCCGAGGCTCCGGTATCGTAACCCGACGTCCTCTCGTCCTCCAACTCATCAACCGTCCCGCCGAGAGCAATGGCGTTAGCGCCGAGGAGGTCGACACCTCCAACGACAAGCAGGCCAATGCCGACGAGTGGGGAGAGTTCCTTCATGCCCCTGGACAGAAGTTCTATGACTTCTCCAAGATTCGAGACGAAATCTCACGGGAAACAGAAGCCAAGGTCGGGAAAAATGCAGGCATCTCTCCAGCTCCCATCAACCTTCGCATCTACTCTCCCAATGTCCTCACCTTGACCCTCGTAGATTTGCCTGGTCTCACCAAGGTCCCTGTCGGAGACCAGCCCCGCGACATCGAGCGACAAATTCGAGAGATGGTTCTCAAGCACATCGGCAAGTCAAACGCCATCATTCTTGCAGTCACCGCTGCCAACCAAGATTTGGCCAACTCGGACGGTCTCAAACTGGCACGCGAGGTTGACCCTGAGGGACAAAGGACTATCGGTGTTCTGACCAAGGTCGATCTGATGGATGAGGGAACCGACGTTATTGATATTCTGTCCAACCGTGTCATTCCTCTCCGACTGGGCTACGTCCCTGTAGTTAACCGAGGCCAGCGAGATATCGATAACCGAAAGGCCATTAACCAGGCGCTGGAGGCCGAGAAGAATTTCTTCGAGAATCACAAGGCTTACCGTAACAAGAGCTCGTACTGCGGAACCCCTTATCTTGCCCGCAAGCTGAACCTTATTCTCATGATGCACATCAAGCAGACCCTGCCAGATATCAAGGCCCGCATCAGCAGCTCTCTTCAAAAGTACTCGGCAGAGCTGGAGAGCCTTGGTCCCTCTATGCTTGGCAACAGTGCCAACATTGTTCTCAACATCATCACAGAGTTTACCAATGAGTGGCGAACAGTTCTGGACGGTAACAACACAGAGCTGTCGAGCACTGAGCTTTCAGGTGGTGCCCGTATCAGTTTTGTCTTCCACGAGCTGTACTCCAATGGTGTCAAGGCCATTGATCCATTTGACGTCGTGAAGGATGTCGACATCCGCACAATTCTCTACAACTCTTCCGGTTCCTCCCCAGCTCTCTTTGTGGGCACCACCGCCTTTGAGCTGATTGTGAAGCAGCAGATCAAGCGCTTGGAAGACCCCAGCTTGAAGTGCGTGTCCCTTGTTTACGACGAGTTGGTACGAATTCTCTCGCAGCTTCTCGGCAAGCAGCTTTACCGCCGGTATCCTTCGTTGAAGGAGAAGATGCATGGCGTCGTCATTGCATTTTTTAAGAAGGCTATGGAGCCCACCAACAAGTTGGTCAGGGATTTGGTATCTATGGAGTCATGCTACGTCAACACTGGCCATCCTGATTTCTTGAATGGTCACCGAGTAGGTCAACCTAATAACCAACTCAATCACTGGAGGATAGCTAACCCCTGTTTTAGGCGATGGCGATGGTAAACGAACGGTACAACCCCAAGCCTGTTCAGGTTGATCCCAAGACAGGCAAACCTATTGCCGGGACTCCCCGAGCTGCGAGCCCGACTGTTCCAGATGGAGAAAATTCTGGCAATTCGGGTTTCTTTGGCAGTTTCTTCGCAGCCAAGAACAAGAAGAAGGCTGCCGCCATGGAAGCCCCTCCCCCTACTCTAAAGGCTTCAGGTACTCTATCAGAGCGCGAGAACATCGAAGTCGAGGTCATCAGTACGTCAACCTGATACTACACAGGTTTAATTGTTTGTTACTAACCGTTACACAGAGCTGCTCATTTCTTCTTACTACAACATTGTCAAGCGTACCATGATTGACATGGTTCCCAAGGCCGTCATGCTGAACCTTGTGCAGTAAGTTCCCCATAACTGTTACCTCTGTGGTTTTGTCTAATCACAGCCGTAGATTTACCAAGGACGAGATGCAACGAGAGCTGCTGGAGAATATGTACCGAACCGACACATTAGACGATCTTCTCAAGGAGAGTGATTTCACCATCCGAAGAAGAAAGGAGTGCCAGCAGATGGTTGAGTCTCTTTCCAAGGCTAGTGAGATTGTCAGCCAAGTACAGTGATGTCGTTCATGAACAAGGCTTCTTATCATCACGTCCCAATTCGGCGTCAGAGTCAGGCTGGGCCCATCTGCAGCCTCTTGTTTCCCCGCGAACCAACCGCTTAAAGGGATCACTGTATAGCAGCACTCCCATGTCACCACATCCCGTGCATCACTATTTTTTTTCGATACCACTACTTTTCAGAAGGAGACCTAGAGTAGACTGCTTAATGACTTGCATTCGATATGCATGATTCGGTGCATGCACATGACAAAGGAGGTGTGGAGGCGCGGCGTCTTTTGGGAGGTTAAGAAAGCGGGAGTAATTGGGGGACTCGTGTTGACCGGATAGCTGGGCCTTTCCTGGCTTCATCTTCGATATTGTGTTTTCTTACGAGTGCTCTTCGAGGGACTCGAAAGATTGTGCGAACACGGGCTTGTAGGTAGAATATATAATCAGTCACCCATTATGCTTCATGCTTCATGCCCCATGCCTGGTGTGGCTCTTGACTGATATAAACTTGCACCAGCCTTGAAGGAATTACGATCCATCACTATCCCGAATCATGATTCGCTTCCCAGTATAAGTTAAGTTGACGAAGCGAGGCCGTGTTGACTTTGACATGTGGAGA